TGTAGATGCTGGAAAAACCAAGAAAACCAATCATCTTCTTGTAGTCTGGTTCACTGACTCCACTTAAGACGAAATGGAGCAATTAATAAGTTCAGAGAATTGGTGTAGCTGGCTTGTACCCCATCACAGGTGTGTAATCAGCTGCAAAGAAAATGCGGAATAACTAAATATAAAAAAATTAGGAGCAGTTTTTGAAAAAAGCCAGTTTTCTCCAACGCTGGTCGGCCGACCAGCGTTGGAAAAGTACAGTTTTTCTTGAAAATGTCAGCACACCAGGAGCCACGATTTTACAGGATGCTTCAGACTGTCATTCCTTAACAATCCAGTAAGGTACATGTATTTCGTGATAATTTGATCATTTCATTTTTTGATGTTTGCAAATGTTGTATCTTCCCTTTAAGACCGACCATTTGACAGGATTTTGACCAATTGAAAGGGGTAAACTGTCATACATGTAGTATGGATAATAATTTCAACTAAAATTTAAAATGCACTGAAGGTTAGTTTAGCATGGTCTAATTTATTAAAGTCAGAGTGCACAATGAGTCTTGCATGAAATCTGTCGAAATGATAACTGCGCTTAAAATGCGACACCCAAAAACGCAACCCTCAAAAATGCACCGATGGCACATATGAAACACCATAATTAAGATTTACACCTACATTTATTGCGATTTGTGATATTCCATGTGATTGTAACATAACTGCACATATTTTGCCTCCATTTAAAAACTGTTCATATACACCTTTCTGAATTGTTACAAACAATTTGTGTTAAGTATTTAATTTATTTTGTTTGCATTTTTGCGAATTAAAAATTTGGTGCAATGTAGAACTATTTATTTAAAACTTAGGGTCTTATTTTGGTAAATTTTCCGGGGACTGACCGACCACGAAGAGACATGTACATTGTACATGTACCAGTAGAAGCTGCTGCCAGAGCTTAAACACATTATTTCTATGGAATTTAAATAAAAGAAAGATAAGAGAAAAATGTCCATGCTAGCACAATAGTATGCCCTACAGTTCGGTGCAATAGACCCTACCTATGTACACATATGCCTTGCACTTTCCGTGGGAGCCAGTTTAGAGACGATGGTCAATTCTGCCCTCCCGGCGCCCAAAGGAAAGTGCACAAATGGTTTTTGAAAAATTAAATCTTCAATAAACAAAGGTCATGTGCTCAGCGTGGGCAGTGTGCAACATAGATGAAGTGAGTAATTATTCCAACATAAGGCGCTATTTCTTCAAAGTTTTATTGTGGAATTTCTCATTCCTGATCAAACTGTGAACAATAGAATGATTTGAAAAATTTAATAAAAATATTTCGAACAAGTTTTAAAAAGTTTGGTGTCTGGAGCGTACATGTAGAGTAGTTTTTATTGAAGGGAGTTCTCGAGGGCAAAGAATGATAACGCCCTGATGCGCGCCTATCAAATGTCCCCTCCCCCCCCCCCCGGCCATGGTTGGGGATAGTCAGAGTATCACCTGTTGTCCATGGACCCAAGACTCCTGTCTAATGTACATGTATCTATGCGTAAGCATGCAGATTTATGTGATCCTTGCATCAGCCAATCGGAGTCGACTTCGCTAAATAGTTTCGTTCCCAAATCAGGACTAAACTTGTTTGATTGGTCAATAGATAGACAATCAGACGTAGCGCTATTTACATGCTTCTGCCTGAAATGACATCACACATTTGCTCATGAATACCGGGAAATTCGCACCAATGTAAATCTACTCAATTGTAAAAGTACCGAATTGTGTGGTTTTGTTTACCTACCGACTGTTCTTGATTTTTAGGCAGTCCTTGCTGGAAATACAAGCTGTTTTGGTTTATGACCCAATCACAAAGCCGAAGGTTGCGGCATCTTTTTATACGTGGTGTCGACCTGTCCATAACCAGCTTGTGTACGTGATTATAGTGACCATTTTAGCCGATTTCCGGCCAACTTTGACAGATTTTTTTTTTTTGGTTTAAAAAAACGAGTTTGACAGAAAATTTGACAGAATGGATTTTGTTGGCTTGATTCTTGCAAGATCAAAAATGATCTACAGTAGTAACATTGTCTTTGATAGAAAAAAAAGCGAATTAAAAAAAAAAATGGTACAGTTGTTTAAAAGCTTCAATCTATGATCTTTTCAAACAAACGCTTGTAAAAACTATTGGACAGGTTCCCTGGTCTAGGTGCTGGGAACCGGACGTTGTCGTAAAGTCCATTCTCATTCGTGTATGTGTTTTGGAATCATGGCGTAAATCGTCGGTGTTTTCACGAAGTGACAAAAACCTCAATATCATGCAAAAAGGTAATTCCGAGATAATCGCCTTTTAATCATTTTTCCAAAACATCTTTTCGACTAGTTTTTAGTTATTGATTTAAGAACTTTTTGCATTGTCAAGTAAAGTATGCTTCGTTCTTTGCTAATTCAAAGTTGTTTGTTAGGAGTCTCTCTTAATTAAACTGTAATTCATTAATACAGACGTTGTTTTTTTTCACTTCGTCAAACAGCAAAACACAGAGCTTCACTATTTTGTCCCATTAAGTTGTACACGCTCTTTGTCACTTCGTGAAAACATTAACATAAAACATTCTAAGAAATTGTTACATTTGCGCGTCTGACGTCACTGCAGCGCGCGTGCGTCTGTTCTTTATCGACTTCGTTCACCGTGAGGGCGTGCGCGTCCAATCCCGTTTGTTTACGATAATTACAAAAGTAAACAATATTTCGCTTTGAAACTCAGCCAAATTCTTCCTTTTTTAAATGCAATAAATTGGTCGGCAAAACTCAAAATCGATTTTGGAGGTTTTTGTCACTTCGTGAAAACATCGACGAAATAGTGGACAGGTTTTGGGCAGTCCATTTTGTTGAAATGATAAAAATGAATAACCCTACTGGCATGATATTATGTAGGTAGATTGAACAACAATCATGACCATGTAAAAAAAGCCGTGTATCATGTGCAACTATATAGTCTGACACTTCGGGTCTCAATACTTTGAACATGTATGTATGAGTGTGCCATTATTAAACTTACAGGTGGCATACCTCATTTGTGATGGGTGCATTAGGCCTACATTCGTTTGAAGCAAAAAAAAAAGTACCCAAAATGAGGGAGGATGCTAAACAACTAACCTGATGAAATTGTATCCCAATTAAATGCTGTATATTCCGAGAAAACAATTTTCTAGGATCTCGATTTCAATCACGAAAAGTTGCGAGTCATGTTTTGAATTCAGCGTTCTCATGTTTTTATAAAAGTTAAGTCCAAAACGCCATGGCGTAGATGTCGTTTGGGAGAAAAAAAAATCGCATCCGGGCCTGGCTGTACTTCGCTGATAACACGGGGGGGGGGGAAATATAAAATTAGAAAAAAATATGAATTCGATCAACGTAATGAAATTCGCACTCTATTTCCCTTAAAAAAAAATCAGCCAAAGCCCCAGATAAGAAAAACAAATTGGGGAAAAAGATGTACCGAACTCACATCGCGGGGATCCCTCGCGGTACAAAACCACGACTCTTCCAACTAAGCTATCGAACTGCTCAGCAAAAACAGGAAATTCATGGTAGAAAGTATACCTGCATACGTATCAAACAAGTGTCGTAGAGGGCGCTCAACAACTATGTAATGTTGATGTTGCGGGGGGGGGGAGGGGCTTCAGCCGATTGTAGCTATGGATGTCTTGCATTGAACCGACGAATAATAGCAAGCGCGCGCACCTACCTGCGTACGTGTCGACGCTTGCGCGCATCCATTTTACGGATTGACCGAATGAAAAAAACCGAACTACGTATAAAGGAAAGTTTAAAAATGTGCCTTTAGACGCATCGATCGTTGGAAACGACCTTCTTTCATTGTTCTCTTTAAAATGTGACAGCATGTCTGAAAAAAAATTCACAGGGGTCTGTTGCCATTAGCCTACTACATGTATCTTTAAACCAAGTATGCTATTTCAACAATAATTTCGTCAGTTACTTTAAGATAGCTGCAAATGATGGACTGTACCCTCTATGGTATTGAAAACATGCAATACGAGAAACCAGCCCAGCAATGCATCAATCAACTGTACTGTGCTAAAAACAAATATCTGGCATGTCTGGAACTAGTCTCAATTTCTGCACATTTCTCCATAATTATTCAGTTACCCGATAAACGACAAGGAATGAAGAGGTCAGTCATGTCAGTCTTGTCAATTCAAGCAGTTGGATCATGCTGCAGTCTCGATCATTTTGAAATTTCTCGACTTCCGATCCCTCTCATGTGCAAATTATTGGAGAAAATTCTTCTTCAAAAATTGAGTTGAAGGTACAGTCCATCATGTGCAGCTATCCAAGCTTACTTGGTTTAAAGATAGTATGGGACTAAAGTCCCTGTGAAATGATTCTTTCTTGCATGCTGCCACTTAGTCTATGAACAGATGCGCTGATTATGCAAGACAACCACATTTTGACCTCTAGATTTTGACCAATCAGCGGGCGCTTTATACATCGGGTCTTCGGTCATTCACCCACTGTGCGTCGAAAACATGGATAAACAAACATGTGTCACGTGCTCTGTTTCATGTTACGGGATATGCGCCCGAGCTGTTCTTGTATTGCAAAACACAGCCGTCGAATTGACCAATCAAACCATTCTTTGGGAATGAGATGACGTCATGATTCAGTAAAGTGGACTCCGATTGGCTGGCGCGCAGCTTAATTGCGTTCATCTCATCATCTGCACGGTTTAGACAAATAAGACGTTACACAGGAGACTTGGCTCCGTGGATAACGGGTGATACTCGGACTAGCTGTCACTTGTATCAATGAAAGAAGGCCTTTCCAACGATGTGTCTAATTATTTTTTTCGGTACGTTAGTTCGGTTTTTCATTCGGCGAAGCGGTAGTTATTACCACATGGTGTTACCGCAAACCAAAACGATATACCTTACCTGGTGAGTATTTTAACCAAATTAATTCTCCATTTTGTCTGAATCCTATTATCCTGTACTTTTCAGGGGAAATTTGGAGCGATTCGCTTAATCGACTGCAGGATCTTTCTCTGCAACATTGATCTTGATTTCTCTGGTAATTACAGTAAGTATACATTGCACATCGTAGCGAATATAAGTTGAAAAGAAACTAGAATTCAAAATTCGTAGGCCCTTTAGCCACAGTGCCCACTGTACCCATGTGTACGGGGCTTTGCCTCCTCCATTTTATGTTGGTGAGGTGGTTTCACAACCGGTCACTTGCTGTGATATACATGTAGATTAAAGGAAACATGCAGTGGACATTCAGCTCACCTTGTTTTCATGCACATTACTATATTAGTTGCAACAATACATACAAGATCTTAATACTTGTTTTCATTGGAAGTGACAAGAAAATGGTAATTTTTCAATTATTAGTAAATCCTTTCATCAATATGTGTAAGAGGGCGCTATTTTGCTTTTGTCACACAAGGTACTCCTTATCAAAGTGCATAATGAACAGTACCAAATTAGTCCTTACAAATTACGCACAAAAAAGTGTTGAAGAAATGTTTGCAACAAGTATTGTCCAAACAAGCTGTTTAACATGATAAACAAGTAAAAAGTGGAACTTACCCTAAGAAAATGACAAAAAAACTTGTATATATATTAGATCACAAAGCTATGGAGACACTACTGTCCTGCCTTGAATGGCATCACGCTTTGGCTCATGAATATGGAACTTTTCATTAGCATAACAACTAAAATGTTGGAAATTTTCCCTTTACTGCTGCAAAGGAAGTGGAAAGTCATAGTTACATGGACAGAAAGAGGTTTTCAATGTATTTAACTCATACAAATCTGATTGGATGTTCCCTTTAAACCATTCAGCAATCAGACACATTGTAGATGGGGCCGAAATGTGTAGCAGCATGAAGCTCGTAGTAAAACGCAGCATGTTTCGTTGTTTGTGTTTTCAACACGGTCTCCAGGTCACGACCCTGACAGCGGAGTCCTGTCTGGAATCTGCTGATTCGGAATCAGTCAAGGAGAGACTTGAGGAGGGTTACGTTCAGCCCCGGTGATGATGCTTTCATAATCTGCAGCATTCTGTAAAGGCGTACGGTAAGCACTCCAGTCAAATGTACAAAAAGGACCTGATCTATGATGAGCTGATTAGAGGGTCCACAAGGGTGAGGAACCATTCGCTTGTGCAACTTCTACATGCAAGTAATCTTCAACGGCACGACATGAATCACACTGGTGAGAAACTTGAGACCAGTGGAAAATCCTTCACTTCACAGGGTGATCTAGGCACATGTGAAGGGATGCACACGGGACAGACGACAGTCATTTTCCAATCTGTCGTAAAACCTTTCTGACACAAGGTGTAGTCTGAGCATACAAGACATGTTGCGGATGGCGAGAAACCATTGTTTTGTTTGACTGTTGGTAAACTGTAAAAGTGACGTGCGTACACACGAAAGGTTACTCGCGGGAGAGAAATCATCGTTTGTAGGATTTGTGGCAAAATTATCGGGACATGGAACAAACTAAGCAGAAAACATTCGTTTGTGAGACCTGTGGCAAAGCTTTTAGTTGTCGAGCTTATCTAAACAGACATGACAGGATGCACACGGGTGAGAAACCATTCGTTTGTGCAACCTGCGGTAAAGCCTTTACTCAGCGAAGTCATCGTAACCTACACGAGAGGAGGTGGCACACTAATGAGAAACCATTCGTTTGTGAGACCTGTGGTAAAGCCTTTACCCTGCGAAGTAGCCTCAACATGCATGAGGTGATTCACACTGGTGAGAAACCATTCCTTTGTACAACCTGTGGTAAAACCTTTTCACAACTACGTCTTCTAAAAGTTCATGGGAGGATTCACACTGGCGAGAAACCATTCGTTTGTGTAACCTGCGGTAAAGCTTTTACTGATCCAAGTGGTCTTCGCCAGCATAAAATAATGCACACTGGGGAGAAACCATTTGTCTGTGAGACCTGTGGTAAAGCCTTTGCTCGACGAGGTCATCTTAATGGACATTATAAGAGCGTGCACACCTGCAGGAAACCATTCCATTCTGAAACCTGTGATGAAACTTTAATTATTCAGCAATGTGATCCAAACAGACAAGGCAGGATTAACACTGACGTGAAACCATTTGTTTGTGAAACCTGTGGTGAAGCCTTCACTCAGCAAAATGATCTAAACTTACATGCGTGTGTTCACACTGACGTGAAACCATTTGTTTGTGAAACCTGTTGCGAAGCTTTTACCCAGCAAAATGATCTAAACTTACATGCCAGCGTTCACACTGAAGCGAAACAATTCGTTTGTGAAACCTTTGGTGAAGCCTTTACTCAGCAAAATGATCTAAACTTACATGCCAGCGTTCACACTGACGCGAAACCATTCGTTTGTGAAACCTTTGGTGAAGCCTTCACTCAGCAAAATGATCTAAACTTACATGCCAGCGTTCACACTGACGCGAAACCATTCGTTTGTGAAACCTGTGGTGAAGCCTTTACTCAGCAAAATGATCTAAAGTTACACGTCAGTGTTCACACTGACGTGAAACCATTCGTTTGTGAAACCTTTGGTGAAGCCTTTACTCAGCAAAATGATCTAAACTTACATGCCGGTGTTCACACTGACGTGACCTCATTCGTTTGTGAAACCTGTGGTGAAGCCTTCACCCAGCAAAATGATCTAAACTTACATGCCAGCGGTCACATTGACGTGACACCCTTCGTTTGTGAAACCTGTGGTGAAGCCTTTACTCAGCAAAATGATCTAAACGTACATGCGTGGGTTCACACTGACGTGAAACCGTTCGTTTGTGAAACCTGTGGTAATATTTTTGAGGAACTTCTGGCACTTCGACAACATGAGAAGATTCACACGGGTGAGAAATCATTCTGTGACAGTGCAAACTGTGGTAAAACTTCAACTACGCAAAGTAGCAGAAACAAACAGAACAAAGTCGACACTGGAGAGAAACCATTCGTTTGTGAGATATGTGGTAAAGCTTTTAGTTGTCGAGCTTATTTAAACAGACATGACAGGATGCACACGGGTGAGAAACCATTCGTTTGTGCAACCTGCGGTAAAGCCTTCACTCAGCGAAGTCATCGTAACCTACACGAGAGGAGGTTGCACACTAATGAGAAACCATTCGTTTGTGATACCTGTGGTAAAGCCTTTACCCTGCGGAGTAGCCTCAACACACATGAGATGATTCACACTGGTGAGAAACCATTCCTTTGTACAACCTGTGGTAAAACCTTTTCACAACTACGTCTTCTAAAGGTTCATGGGAGGATTCACACTGGCGAGAAACTATTCGTTTGTGTAACCTGCGGTAAAGCTTTTACTGATCCAAGTGGTCTTCGCCAGCATAAAAGAATGCACACTGGTGAGAAACCATTTGTCTGTGAGACTTGTGGTAAAGCCTTTGCTCGACGAGGTCATCTTAATGGACATAAGAGCATGCACACTTGCAGGAAACCATTCCATTCTGAAACCTGTGACGAGACTTTAATTATTCAGCAAAGTGATCCAAACAGACAAGGCAGGATTAACACTGACGTGAAACCATTCGTTTGTGCAACGTGTGGTAAAACCTTTGCACAACTACGTCTTCTAAAGGTTCATGGGAGGATTCACACTGGCGAGAAACCGTTCGTTTGTGTAACCTGCGGTAAAGCTTTTACTGATCCAAGTGGTCTTCGCCAGCATAAAAGATTGCACACTGGGGAGAAACCATTTGTCTGTGAGACCTGTGGTAAAGCCTTTGCCCGACGAGGTCATCTTAACGGACATAAGGGCGTGAAAACTTGCAAGAACCATGCGATTCTCAAACCTGTGGTGACACTTTAGTTACTCAGCAAAATGATCAAAACAGACAAGTTTAAAACAGACAATGATCAAAACAGACAAGACATAATTAACACTTACGTGAAACCGTTTGTGCAACCTGTGGTGAAGCCTTTTTTTTGTCAGCAAAATGATATAAACTTAAATGCCAGTGTTCACACTAACAAACGTGAAATCATTCGATTGTGAAGCCTTTACTCAGCAAATGCCAGTGTTCATTCTGACGTGAAACCATTCGTTTGTGAAATCTGCGCTGAAGCTTTTACTCAGCAAAACAAAAGATCTAAACTTACATGACAGGGTTCACACTAACCAGAAACCACTCGTTTATGAGACCTGTGGTGAAGATTTAACTCGCCACAATGATCTAAACGGATATGACAGGATTCACACAGACGTAAAACCATTCATATGTGAAAGCTGTGGTGAAAGCTGTGGTGAAAGCTGTGGTGAAACCTGTGGTGAAGCCTTCACTCAAATGGTCTAAACTTACATGTCGGCGTTCACACTGACGTGAAACCATTCGTTTGCGCAACCTGTGGTGAAGCTAATTTTACTCAGCAAAATGATCTAAGGCTACATCTCAGGGTTCACACTGGTGAAACACCAGATCGTTTATGAGACCTGTGGTGAATGTTTTACTCAGCAAAATGATCTGAACAGACTTGCCAGTGTTCACACTGACGTGAACCATTCGTCTGCAAAACCTGTGATGAAGTCTTCACTCAGCAAAATGATCTTAGCCTACATTACAGGATTCACACTGGTGGGAAACCATTCGTTTGTGGAACCTGTGGTGTAGCCTTTACTCAGCAAAATGATAAACAAACATATGGTTCACGCACAGTGGTTCACACATGGTTTACACTGGTCTGCGAGACCTGTGGTGTAGCTTTTACTCCGCAAAAGGCTCTAAACAGACATACCAGGGATCATATTGATGAGAAAATATTCGTCTGTGAGACATGGGGTGAAGCATTTGTTTGTGAGCCCTGTGGTGAAGCTATTACTTGTCAAGCTGATCTAAACAGAGATACAAGAATGCACACTAATGAGACACCATTCGTCTGTGCAACCTGTGTTAAATCCTTTCCCTCAGCAATGTCATCGTAATCTACATGAGAAGACGCACACTGTGCGCACTTCTGAGAAAAACTCTGTAACTTGTGATAAAACCTTTACACAACTACGTCTTCTAAAAGTTCATGGGAGGATTCACACTGGCGAGAAACCATTCGTTTGTGTAACTTGCGGTAAAGCTTTTACTGATCCAAGTGGTCTTCGCCAGCATAAAAGAATGCACACTGGGGAGAAACCATTTGTCTGTGAGACCTGTGGTAAAGCCTTTGCTCGACGAGGTCATCTTAACGGACATTATTGATAAGGTGCACCCTGGTTAGAAACCATTCGTTTGTGTGGCCTGTGTTAGGGCCTTTTCTCAGGAAAAATTATCAACAACGGAGTCCACTCAAAACTATAACTGTGTGGTTTTTTTTTGGGGGGGGGGGTTGGATCTCAGGTAAAATTTCCACACTGCACACTGTCTTGCACCAATGAGAAACCATTTGCGAGATAGGTGGGAAAATGTACGCTTTTCATGTACATAACGACCCTACATATTTTTATCCAGGAAAAGTCATGGAAAGGTCATTGAATTTCATCTACAGATATCTTTGTGAACCCTGGCTGTGTTTGTGGCTGATGTATACAGACCCATCTCTGACAGGATTTGTTGTATAACAAAACTTAACCATTGAATGTTATGCGCTTCGGCTCGGATCCTGTTCACTTCGTGTGCATACGAAACGCCTTTGACATGTGCACATCACAGCAGACAATGGTGCACAAATTAATCTTATGTGCCTAAATGTTGGAGCTGATTGACTTTCTTTGTATTAAATTGCATATAAACTTCTCTTCAATTTCAGATTTATCCAGTTGTTCTCAATTAACATGTTTACCTCAGTTTAGTCAGTTATATTTCATTCTAACGGCATTCCCTTGAAATGTTGTTCTTTGATTTTGGTCATTAACCATGTGCACATGGTCGTCATAATGACGTACACATATTTTAGAAAATTGATTTAGCCTTGTCAGACCTTAATGAAGCAAGTTTTAGTTAATAAAGGTTTTGTAGTAGAAAAGCTTTGTAGGTTTGCAGGTGGCAGGGGTAGCTTTGCAGACTCGTGTTTTATTTATGTTTTATCCTACAGACACTTTGTCCAGTAAAGAGCCAATAGACCTGAACAGGGTACGCCATCTTCAAAATCAAAGTGTTCATGTAACGCAAACAAACATTGCGGCGTAAATACCGCGGGCTTTAATTTGATAAGATCTTTCTTCAAAATACAATGAGTCGTGAAAATGTTATCGTTGACGTTTCGGGAAAATTGAGCCATTTCTCCGTTACATGCCACACTTTGATTTTGAAGATGGCGTATCCTGATAATAATCCATTCAAGGTTCTTTAGCTTAATTCTGTAATCTATGAGCCATGACTTTGGAGATTTTGTATTTTGTTTAATCTATCACGGTTGAGATGATATAGATTTTCCAGGCTCTGCTGTCAATCATATAGCCGTAACCATTCAATTTGAATCGGGAGGGGGAGTAATCAAAGGAGAGAGGAGTGCCTTGATACCCTCCAGTAATAGCGGCACTTCAAAGCGGACAAGACTGAATAAAAGACTGGAGAAAACAATCGGACAATAGGTAGCTATACCAAAACATGTGGCTCATTAAGTTTGGGGTCCACTTTTGCCATGTCATATAACATCGATGATTTTGTAATTCTGGATATAATCATTAATTACATACTCTTCCTCAAAGTGAGTGAAGTAAACGACCAACCCAACAAACATAATGTACACTGAAAGGGAAAATACAACATTTGCAAACATCAAAAAACGAAATGATCACATCACCACGAAATACCTTACTGAATTGTTAGGGACTGACAGTCTAAAGCATCCTTTATAATCGTGGCTCCTGGTGGGCTGACATTTTCAAGAAAAACTGTATTTTTTCCAACGTTGGTCGGCCGACCAGCGTTGGAGAAAACTGGCTTTTTTTCAAAAACCGTTCTTAATTTTTCATATTTAGTTATTCTGACTTTTCTTTGCAATTGATCACACACCTGTGAAGGGGTACAAGCCTGCTAGACTGATTCTCTGACCTTACAATTCCCCAAAGTGTATTAATTGCTTCGTTTCATCTTAAGTGGGGTCAGGGAACCAGACTACAAGAACATGATAGGTTTTCTTGGTTTTTCCAGCATCTACAAGCCCAAAACATGAAACAAGTCAGTTTAACAGTATTTTATGTAACATACTAATCCTCCAAATCCATTTATTTCTGAAAATTGCAGCAAAAGCAAATGTTGTACATTCCCTTGAAGTCATTATTGTTAATGCCAATTACTGTCCAACTATATGAAGTTCAGACTGGAATAAAGACACGAAAAATGTCAATAGTTTAACCCCTTTGTGTAGGCCAACATGACGCCCAAAGTTATTCCTTATTCACAAGAAGCCATTTTCCATCGTGTTCCCTGAATATTTTATGTACATTGTGAACTGTTGAATAGGATGGTACCAGACTATTTTTTTTATGATTGAAGTTCGTTCCAAGCCTCACTTTCGATTTGTTTGTGTGGCTTAAAGCATTAGGGTATGCTTAATCACACATTTTAAATTATTCATTATTATAAGACACTGGTAAATTTGTAATTAACTTACATTTTATTGCTTTTATTTCATTGTTTTCATTGCATGACAAAGCGTTCGTCTTGCAATTAAAAACGTTATCTTTCAGAGATGTTGAACCTCATAAATCATCCACATGTACTGTGACTGAATATACAGTGTTACGTATCGTTAAACTTTTTGTAGCTCTCAGCTATTTTCAGCATTCATGGCGAATCCCCGCAAAAACATATCCAAAGCAGAGCTATCAACCATCCGTAAACTGAAAACAATCCACAGATTAAATGTCCAAGGCATGCATTGTTAACCGATATAGGCCTTGCTTTAGTTTGTAAACATTGGCGCCATTTTGTATGGGCTGCCGTAAGCGCATAAATTGAAGCCGTGGTTGGCAACATATTTTTCCAAAAAAGTTCTCATAACGCCATCAACACATGGTAAAAAGACTTGTGGGAATTATTTGTGTAGCTTTGTTGAAAATGTTGTATTTTCAAGTATCAAATGATATGTTGGTGATCTGTAATAACTCAACTTCATTTTTGCAGTGTTGGACCTTCCATAGTTTTGCAGGACGTGGTCGGCAAAAATGCAGTTTGCCAACCAAGCGCAGAAAGGTCTATAGCACTACAAAAAGCCCTCCGACAACTTTATGTTTAACATGCAGGTCTGGAACTAAACGCGTGAGGGCGCACGTCATGGGCTCCGTGCGTGAAGAACTAGAAGAGCGGGCGCTTGTTGATGACTTTTGAGGGTGGTTTTATTATATGTCTGTGGGTGCTAGGCCCAAAATTGCCTACGCCTTCCCAAATCACGATTTACATGCCGTCACATTCTCCACTATTATTATTATTGGTTACTATTCATGCATCTTTTTGTTAAACTTTCGCGATCAAGAGCCCCAATCGCAGTATTTTATTTACAGCAATTAAAAATCGTTGCACATGTATATTGAAGCAATTTGTGGGCCATAAAGTATTTTTTTTAAAGATGGGAGGAAGTCGTGAAGAGAACTGCGAGCTCGTATTTCTGAGCATTTCGGATGGCATTAGGCCCTAAAATTGCTTTGTTTTGCAATGGAGCTTATGGGCATCTTTGGCGATGGTCTTCAATACTACTTAAAAGGGTGATTATCTTTGGATGGAATTTTCTCCCCAAAGTCATAACCCCCAAAAAGTGAACGGAAAATGAAAGATGATGACTTAAGCTTTAATTTGATTTGTGTCTCAAACACCTTGGAGAGTTGCTGGTTTTTAAAATATTTTTTGGAAGTGGGCGTAATTATTACTGCAGGGTGTGTTGCAGCTGCGCTGCCTGCCTTGCAAGCGCGCTTTACTTTCTTGCGATCGCTTGAGGGCGCGCTTTTTTGCCACGACTGCATGACAAATTTCAGGTGAAACTTAAAACGTCTTTCGGCCCAGATTCACATCTTTATTTACTCTCAATCGTAGTTCAGAATTGCTCAGTGGGGCTCACTTTCGATATTGGATGATTCCATTTTGCCAACACGGTTCCAGTCTATCCTGTTTGAGAAGAATAAACTGTAGCTCATTGTGAGCCTCCAGAGATCGGACAGTCTACAGGGTGGGTAATTTTTTTTAAATGTTCCTTTGGATAGGTTTCTGTCTCCCACAAAAACGGTAAAGGTTACCAGTTTTTCTCTTCAGCCAACAGTTTGGGTATTGACCACAGTCGGTAAAAGTTCCACTGATATTCAGCTATGCATGAAAGGGTAGGGTACAGTCCTTTCTATGTGACTACCCCAAAACACTACCAACACAATGTTCATAATACTAGGCATGTTTAACACAATGGCAACAATGGCCCTCCGGACAATAGGCAAAATAAAAAAAAACATGTTTAGCGTCCTGCCTCTTTGACAAAAAGGAAGGAGGAGACATTTTCTTTGTTCTCGTGTACTGTAGTTTTCGAGTTTGAAAGTACAGTTTCAAAATGCTCTTATTTGAACCAGAATTAATTTCCTTGGCTGAAACTCGGACTTGATATCCCCTTTATAAACCTCTACCATTTGCGACAATTTCAACATACCTTGGAAATTCCTAGTTTTGGAGTAAAATCTATGTATCTAATTTTGTGAAAACCTTGTGGAGACGAAGGCCCTATTCATCTATAGAAATTGCCCTGTGGAGATGTATACAATCTTTTGTTCCCTATTGTGTGCATGTCTCCAGAGGGCACGGTGTATCAGATCACCCGGTCCTCGAGGTACCCCCAAAGAAAACAATTAAAGGGGGACAAGATCTGGAGATCTTGGCGCCCCGTGTTCCGGTTATTGTTTGCGCCATTAAATAACGTTAAATATCCCCCCCCCCCCCCTTACAAAACATTACGATTAGGACATTGTTTTGGCAGTGTTTTTTGAGTAGGCCTGTATCCTTTGAATGCATGGATAAATATCAGTAAAACTATTACTGCGCCCCCCCCCCCCCAAAAAAAAAACAAAACAAACAAATGTAGGCAATTTCGGACCTACTTTAATCCGGCCTGCACAAGTCTGGTTCCCAGACTAAAATATTCTGACTATTTTTGATGAATCTTAGATCGGGTAGCCGCTAGCATTTATACAACGGCACGTGACTAAAACGGGAGGAATGCCTCTTTTTTCAGAAAATGACCGAAGTTTGCCGAATGTATTTCGTCGAAATCTCAGATAGCACCCCGAGTGGTTTTGGGTATAAAGTAGGTTTTTATTTAATTACCTTGCTAATTAAAAATTTAAAAACTAAGATAATGATTAATATTCATAAATTGCATCAAGAAACTTAAAATTCAATGAAGATTTTGTGCATCGATATGCACTAGGATCTTATTTCCAAAAACTCGGCGTGGTCCCCATTTTGGCTTCGCCTGCTAAGGCCAAAAAAAAAGTTTCCGGTTTCTGGTATGGAGCTTGCCCAAAAAGTGGTGCGGCGACGCGGCTTTTTTTTTTTTACCTGTTTTGTTTGCTTCAAATGTCGGCTGATAACTGCACATGGTGCCCGACTAAACTTAGTGCAAGTATATGGGAGTCCAGAGAGGCCACATAAAGCTTATTCTCGATCATAACCCCATCTAAAAACACGTTAAAATTGTGTAGCAGCAGGATTCCAGTCAAACCAGTGAGTTTGGCGGTTTTGAGACATCATCTTTCATTGACAAAAAAACCTTTTCATTTTGCCGACGCGCATGGCTACGGCGACGCGTGCGCATACCAGAAACCGGGGACTGGTTTTTGTTTTGGCCTCAGATGATATTTGAGTCCCTAACTTTTAAGATTGCGGGTCAACCTTCGTCAATGTCTCTTACAGAAAAATCAAACTGTATGACATATGAAGTAGGTAATGTTTTTGAAAAATTTGATCAGAACATTATGCTACAAGTGATAAAGCAAATTCGGAAACGAAGCCGAGCTTTGATAAAAGGCCGTCAATGTCGTCATGTTATTTCTATCCGTGGAGCCTGCCTGACCTACAATTTAGACGTCGGGGCGTCGGGGAAAGTTGTCAGGTCAGGGAACCAGACTAGGCCTGCACCTCCTCGTTCGGTTTGTGGCCAAGTTGTCGCGGCAACGGGTCATCGCGATCCCATAGGCAGCAACGTCTTGATCGAAGACTAGGTATGTTTGAATCGTACCCTTGATGAATACAAACTTTCCACAATGCCTATTTCTATCGCAAGATCTACGAAGGGTTATTGACATAATCATCGTGCTGTAAAGTGAACCGAAATTGTGACGTAGGAAACTGCTGAGCATTATCAACCAACATCCAAACAAAAATTGGGCTATTGTGAGCCGATTTGAGGAGATGAGTTAAAAAAAAATCGCAAGTTGGGATTGAGACATAGGCCATGGAGTATTTTCATATAGCAAAGTTTACAATCGCCGGTTCGTATCAATCAATTTAAAAACCGTGAAATAATCATAACAAAAGCCAACTAAGCCAATTAACCCTGCTAACATCACCGATGTCAGCAGGATTAGGCTTAAGTAATATATTCTCTTGGCGAGACAGACGTATCCCCATACTGCGGTTTGGGCACTGGCGCTGTGACATGACTTTATACATGTATAATACCGTAATCTTTCTGTCTTTTTATTTACTATGATGTACTTTACATTTATTGTCGATTCTGTAATGCGCTTTTGATCATTTATATGCAAAAGGCAAATTATAAATTTAAATTATTATAGTTTTATTATCGTCTTCCTTATGTTAATGCCAAACACATTTTAGGCTATAATATTTCTAAAATTATATCAATAATCAATATAATTGTTTCCACTCAAATTTCGCCACCAGTTCATTTAATCAGAGAGAAGGTTCATTCCTTCGTTCCGGAGAGACGGGTACGACAACGGTTTTCGCAAATCGCAAAATAGGGCCTAGTCAAATTGTTTAAATGTTTCAAAACATCGCAGGGTTCGACTTTAGCATTAGCCCGCTGTCCAAATGCTAGTCAAAAACAGCGGTGGGCTAGTCATAAACTATTCCTTAAGTAGCCCGGCTGTATGGCGAGTCCAAATATATTATTAGGATTCGGGCAAATAAAAAAGTACAGGAAGAAACGGATCATTAAAACCAGAAAGCAATCCCGTATCAATTTGTGTCTAATTTTATCAACTAGGATTAAATTATTAGATCTGTTTATTAAAAACGCTGACAAGATTGCTTCGGGACATTATAAATGCACATTGTTGTTTATGAGACACTCTATGAAAGAAAAAACATGCGGGCTAGTGAAAATGCCCGTGTGTTAGGTGAGAGTCAGTTTCAGTAGCCTGGTTGCGGTGTTTTTATTTGCAGCATACATCGTCAATGGATCATGGTTATTCAGCTGTTTCGATGTTTATTCATAAGAAAATAACAATGACGTCACACCTTTACTATTACTCAGTTATACATGTATATTAGAGCACTTCAAAGAATGGCTTTCGTTGAGCAGTTACATTGGCCGAGTGGATAGCCGAGTGAACTATGAATCGCAAGATCTGTGGTTTGAGCCCATGCCCATTTTCAGCAAATATTTTTGTTGGTTAGGATAGGTTTAATTGAAGGGAACATACGAGAACCTAAGGGTTTTCCATCCACACAGAGGGGTAAATATTCACGTTAGGGTGCGTGATATAATTGGTTGAAATACGATGTATGCTGCAAAAAAAAAAAAAAAAAAAATACACGCAGCCTGGCTGGTTAGTGATAAAAAACGTTAAGGTCGAACCCTGCATCGTGCAAGAAATATTTTCATAATTCCTTCCCAAGTATTCGTATTTCTTTCAACTCGTTCATCGCTTCATGAAACCTTTGTATTCTGTTTTAACACGGTAAGCACATTATCTTGCTAATGCAACTGCCCAATTTCATTTAACATGTGTTACTTTTGTAAACGTATGCACACACGATTGAATTCCCGAGTGGGATTGAAATCCTAAGCTCACGAAATTCAAGACAAATGTAGCTTGAATATCCGACTCCATGAAATGTGGACTCATTGGTAGTACTGCGCACGCATGAGTACAATACAATGCTTTTTGGGGGATCGTTTCGGGAGAGTGACCTGTCACGTGCGAGGGATCAACCAATAATAGGGAAATAGGGGTCCGATTTTCATAGGAGTCGGAATTTCATGTGACACCGGCACACGTTGCGCGATGTTCTGCCTACATTTTGTTTACGAGTGAACGAAGATACCCGGAATGTTTTGAACTTTCATTAAATGGAACCGGGTGTGAAAACGATTGCCCATTTACGTGAATTTGAAAAAAAAGGTTTTCCATGACCGAATGAACAAGGTGTGAAATTAGACGGAAAATTTATAATATCGATTCAATGTTTAAATGCCGATGTCTCTTTTCTTCAAGTTCTTCGTCAGACATAGAACCGGCTTTGATGTTCACCGGAATCACCGGAAACATGTCCTGATAGGTATCACAAACCATAGAAGAGTCATCGTTTCTGTAGCAATGAGGGAGGTGAGACTGCACTTGAGATGACTAGCGTCATCGTTTCCACTGTGATTGCATCGTGAAGAACCGCAACAGACTTGGGATAGGTAGCCATCTTGTCCGATGTTATACCGATCAATTCTGCTACACCGTCCCTCGTCACTTCGATGGCAGGTACGTTGAGTCACTACCACGTCTCCCCAAACAGACCGGGTCTGCAGATTCAAAAACAGAGAAAAAAAAATGGAAGGAAAAAACAAGTGCAAGTGCACAATAAGCTTTAGCTATCTTGCAAAAAAGTCTGTAACTTTCACCGGAGATTGTGCTTACAAGTACAGAATGTACAAGCGTGGACCGCGGCATCCCACGCGCCGCCCACGCGCCCGGCCATCACACGCACAAATCACGCTGCGCTAAGGTGTCCCCGAAAATTGACCAATATAAACCCTCTAAGCCTCCCATAAAATATTGCGGGCTTTTTGCGCCGAATAATAGCGTGCAGTATACAACGTGACTATAACATTACTGCACCTACCTTGCCTCCATTTTTTTCGTAAACAACTTCACGAATTGTTACATACAATTTTGTTTAAGTATTTATTATATTTTGTTTGCTTTTTTTTATGAAATTTAAAATTTGGTATTTTATGGACAACTTCGGGGGTCTGTTTTTTGGGTCAATTTTTCAGATACTGAGATCTACCGACCTACCGACCGCCATGCCGACCGACCGCTCGACCGACCAACCGACCGACCGACCGGCCGACCGACCGACCGACCGACCAACCACGAATAGAAGCTCCTGCCGAAGCTTTAAAAAGCGAAAAAAAACCATTGAAACCAGTCCTACGGGACAGTGAGGGTTTCAAGTCCCACCATTGTCTCCCCCCCCCCTCCCAAATAAAACCGGCATGTGAAATATTTTTTTCTTTTTAAATGTATCAATATGACAGCATCAACGTCAGTTGCGTAAATCAGTGTCTTCGAGTGCCGGAGGGGATGGGAATGATAATACCGTCGGTCAAAGGAACACAGGGAATCGCTCGAAAAATTACAAAAAAAGAGAATTTCGCACAATCCTTTCCATTAATGTTTGCGAGCACGTTCCCTATGACCTTATGTCTAATATGATACAAATCCCCTCTCTCCAGGAAAGACGTGATCATCTCTGTTTAAAGTTTGGTAAAAACCTTCTCTCATCTCATACATACCGCGAATGGCTACCACCCAAAAGATCAAACAACCTCTGCAATACCAACACCCTGTCAATCCCTCGAAGTCGAACCAACCGATACAAGAATAGTGCAATCCCATTCTTAACCAACCTTCTTAATAACAACTAAGCTCTACGTCTCACACCCTGGTGTGATATTTATCTTCATTTATTTACTGTTTTTCGAAATCTGAGCAATCCATTTCTCCATGTTTATTTTCCCAACTGTTTTTTAATCAACTGTTTTTAGTCAAAACATGTTTTTTTTTTTTTTTTTATTGTGTACTCACCATTCTTGTTGTTACATGCATTAGTTTTTAACTCTCATTATAATTTGTGTCCGTTCTTCTAATTATTTTTATTGTAATACATACAGTTTTTACCTCTGTATATTTTAAAAATGTTTTCCAATGTAAACCTGCCCACAATCCAGCCTTCGGGCTGCGACGGAAGAGTAAAATAAACCATTTAATAATAATAATAATAATAATCCACAAACAGCGGGTGATATCCAAAGACCCATTCTCTTCTGGTCAAAACATAAGGGGGAATACATTCCCCCCCCCCCCCTTGGATTTACGCCCATCAGGCACGCAACTTTTCCTCGGATCAGCTGATTTCCTCTTTTTTTACTTTCCATGTGTGCCATTGAAAATAGAAAAACACTGTAAAAAGTCTGGGAACAATTTGCATTTCCTCTTTTTTTGTGATTTTCCAGTTGCATGCCTGGCCCATGAAAATGTGAACGACATAAAACAGGATGGAATTACTTGCGTAGACAACAAACAATAAATACATGTTTATAATATAATACAAAATACTAACCACCATGCTTATATTGGTGGTGTTTGTTTTACGTACCACGCATTTCCCATCACACCTGATAACTGGGATTTTGTCCTCGTCAAACTCCTCGCCCTGGCATTCCTCTAGCCCGCCCCATTTTTCCTTGTTTTTGTACTCGACGTAGGTGCAGTTGTAGCATCTCAAGCGGCTCTCCACACGCACCGTAGTAAGGATCAACACTTTGAAAGGAAAAGGTACATCAATATAAGTACTTGCAATTTTTCCAAACATCAAAAAGATCAGTTCCTTTAAAAGTGACATCACGTGCATGCATTTCTATAATAATACATTAAAAAAAGTGAGTTCATAATATCAATTGCCTAATTGCATTAAAAAAAAAAACCCTTGAAATTGAATGACGACTTTGTGCATGAAAAAGTATGCATTAGAGCTAGAGGCGAGCTTTGCTGTGTCGTGTACTATTTTTAAATCAAAATCTATGAAGTAATTTAATTTGTTAAAGCCTTTATTGAAGCCAAGCCGGAAAAGAAGCTGAGCTTTGAGAAAGGGCCATCGTGTTTATATTTGTAGCCAACCTACAATGAGCAGACGTCAGGGGGTCGGGAAATTGTCAGGACAGGGAACCACACTAGTCCCGAGCAATAACGAAACCTTTAATTCATAGGGTTGAACACATCCAAAATAGACCAAAGTATAGCTCCGTTCTAATAAATCATAAAACTAAATGTCACCAAGAGAAAAAAAACATCGACCATGTTGAAGAGAACAGGTAGATCGATAAACGTTTTAAGTTTCACATCGGTAATTTGGCATACTTACACGCCAGTGTTGTGTATACAACTATTATTTGAAGGTTGCCCATCATCCTGGAACTTGCAAAACTAAGCAGAATCACATAGGCGTACCTGGAACAAAACAGAACCAAATATCTACCAAATCGTCACTTTGGAGGGTTTGTTTTTTTAAGGGAAATAACATCCGAGAACCATAATTCGGTTCACAGTCTGGTTCTAAGAGCCACTGAAGATCATGACGTTGAATATTGTGAGGTCAGGGAACTAGACGGTCGACTGCGGTAAAGATAGCAACGGCGTTTAAAAATTACCGTAGTAGGTTGCCATCGCATAGGAGCTAGCGGCAGCTGCATGCAGTACAGCAACACGGCATATTCCATGCGCATTAGATAGTCCTACCCCGGGTCAAGATGGCGTCGATGTATCTTTCGGTATATAATTACGAATAATAAGGTAACTAGCCTGTGCGGTAAACCTATATCATAGCTCAATGGATCACATACAGCCTTTTTGCCAACCCGTGTTTTCACCAATCACGGCCGGGTTGGCAAACTATGGAAGGTCAACGTTGCAAAAACAAAGAATACAGTTAACCTACTTTTGATTCCAAAATTATCATTGGATTGTTGAAAATACAAAATAAACCAACAAATGCTACCAAAGACTTCATAAAAAATACCTGTCTATGGGCCCTACCTAATGAGGGTAAATATTCCATTTTTGGTAAAATGTGTTGCCTCGCTAACCAATGCCTATAGTGGCAGCCAAATCGCGTTCAATTTTCACAACAATAATGTCAATAGGCCTGCCTGACTTTATCTTGCGTGATCTTGCTTGACAGAAAACCAGAGTTTACATTAGGCCTACTGTAAGTAATCATGTCGTACCAACTGTATATTGGTTTCGTTAATGTAGGATGGGTTACCATAATATAATGCTTATTAACTGATGGAAACTTACAATTCAATTGCACATCAGCTAGACTGCCGATCGTAATAGAAGTTCTTCGAGAAGAAAATTGTCGCCAACAAAGCTTGTTGCACACAATGATAATCCTCCATCCAAAGTTTAACTTAGACAAAGCTTACGTATCGAACAATTAACGTTCGCGCGCGCGTCAATGTTGCTTTTAGCCCATGCTTTTAGCGCGCGTAGCCGCGCGAACCGCGTTTAGCAACAAACTGCGCGAGAAAAAAAACATTGTGGGTATACGAAGCATAGATAAAGAATGAAAAGACTAGATCGGCAGCGCGTGCATACGCGCCATAGAGTGTGCACACATTTCCCCGTTCCGTCATGGACGCTCTATGCGCAGTGGTGCGTGGGGCGTTACGCGCACCTGAATTCCTGTATGTTTGTGCACAAATTTGCATTTTTATGTCCGTAAAAGTAACATTTTTTTTTACCAGTAGCTATTGTGTATCCAACAAAATTCAATATGCATTTTCAAGCTGGATATTTACCTCGAATTTTGCTCCATTTTTCCTTCGTATTTTTTTTTTCGTTTCTAACTGGTGGTGCGCGTTGCTAAAAAATCTCCAAAAAATGTCACGCTTTTCTTCTAAAATTTAGTAAACAAATATTGTTTTTAACAATAAAACGGAAAACGTAGTATGTAAAACTGCTTTAAATTACCATTGAATTATTTAAAATTAAAATTGTGAAATGTTTTAGTGTAGGTTTTTACAGATTTGTCTTAGCCGCCACCAATCGTGTTATCATCCTTTTCGGATGAGAACAATTACTTGGATTACATATAGACAGCGATACTTGAGAGACATACAGGTTGGCGCTGACACGCCTTGCTCTGGGATTTATTGCACAATATAGAAACTAGTGGCATCAGGTACTACATCTGCGGTTTTGTCCAACAGTTAAGAGTCTAGAGCCTTGCCGATTTGCATGCTGGTTGGCCTACACTGTAAACAATTAACTGTAAAAATTACAGTAATTTACTGGCAGCTGAGTTGCCAGCCGTTTACTGTAAATTTTACAGTAAACATTATCATACTGTATTTAAAGAAAATAGTAAATTACTGTTGTTTTTACAACAAGAGCAGTGCTACTGTAAAATGAGCACGGTAAAGTACTGTATAATTTTACAGTAAAAATTATCATACTGTATTTAAATAAACTAGTAAATTACTGTAGTTTTTACAATCAGAGCAGTTCTACTGTAAAATAATCACGGTAAAGTACTGTATAATTTATACAGTAGTGGTGATCATACTGTTAAGTAATTAACAGTAATTTACAGCTAAATTTACAGTAATCTTCAAATTTACAGTAGGGCCAACTGATCCAGTAAAAAATTACAAAAAAAACACACAGATGACAGCTGTTCCACGTTTGAAACTTTTGTTCTCTTTATTCTGTGAAGGACGGGAAAGATTTGTTTTAATTGTGTTCAAATAATTCAAATATTTTAGTTAAGAACAAAATGTTGAAACACAATTAGACATCTTTGTATAAACAAAATTATTGAACATTGAAAATCATATAGGGCCTATACTAGACTTTATACGAATACAATCCAATAAAAAAAACAAGAAATAAAGGGAAGCAACAGCTATAAAATTAAACTACATAAACTAAGTGGGAAAATTTGAAATGATCCAATAAAAAAAAAGTCAGGCCTGTATGTAGAGATTGAAGCAAACATTAATCTTGCACGGATTATACCTACCAACATGTACACATTCAGGGAACAGAATTACCAACACTTCAAATGTGCAAAAAAAACACAAGATAGCGTCTGTCGGTTCCCGCTTGATTTTTTTCACACGCAAGACGATATTTCGTTGCAGCCTAAAATAATTATGGGTGTCTTGTCTACGTGATTAAGTTCACAGTATGATACTGTCAAAATATTTAACAGTAAATTACTGTGAAAATTACTGTATAATTGTACTTTTTACAGTATTTTACAGCTAAACCAACGGCTCCCAACAAGGCACTGTACTTTACAGTAAGTTACTGTGAAACAAATATACAGCATACTACTGTAGGAAATTACAGTAAGATACTGTCCAAATTACAGCCATTTTTACAGTGTATTCATCCGCTTTCGAACGGTATATAAAGTTTGCTCAGAACGGTTCATGTGAAGGTACCTTTAGACAGCGATACATGAGAGACATGTGGGTTGGCGCTAATGATGTGGGTTGGCGTTGGGATTTTTTTGCACAAAAACGAAACTAGTTGCATCAGGTAGTTTTCTCCAAACAATTCAAGTCTAGAGCCGTGCTGATTTGCATGCTGGTTTGCCTATTCTTTCGCTTTCCAACAGTATGAGGTTCGTCCAGAACAATTCATATTAAGGTATCTTTAGACTACGATACAATGACAGCCATGCAATTGGCGCTGACAGGCCTCGCTAACGGATTTACTGCACAAAAACGAAACAGGCGGCTCCATCTGCGATTTTCTCCAAAAGTTTCAAATCTAGAGCCTTGCTGATTTGCATGCCGGTTGGCATATTCATCCGCTTTCCAACGGTATAAAGTTTGTCCAGAACCATTCATGTTAAGCTGCACATAGAAATGGCGATCAATGTGTCATCTTTTTTTTTTTTTTTTTTTTAGTTAGTTGACCATTGGCTTTTCGAAGAATTCTCACCCAAAGAAGACGACCCCGATTTTTCCCAAAGCGGAAAAGTAGCCATCTTTAAAAACGATCCCTCCAAGACATGAACAAAATAGCGCCACTTTCGAGCTTCACTGAATGCAAACAATTCAGAATTGAAAGTCCCATGTCTGGGCCAGTGGTTCATTGCGATATTTTAATTCCCCAATTTTACGGCTCTCAGAACTCTCTAATAAGGAATATTTCAGTGAGGGCATCATTTTATTCATGATCTGCAATACAATGTGTTTATCTTGAGTTCCCAATTTCACAATAACTGTGTTGACATGACGAGAAAATACGGAGTGTCCTTCGCACTGCAATTTCCTTCAATTATATTACATTCATTCTTCGGCGGTTCCTGTCAAAATTCTTGAATTTCTTGTCAAATACCATGACGAAATATTACATGAAATTTCATTTCAATACAATGCGTTTATCTTGAGTTCCCAATTTCACAATAACTGTGTTGACATGACGAGAAAATACGGAGTGGCCTTCATACTGCAATTTATTACATTCATTCTTCGGCGGTTCCTGTCAAGATTCTAGAATTTCGTGTCAAATATACCATGTCAAAATAATACATGAAATTTCATTGCAATACAATGTGTTTATCTTGAGTTCCCAATTTCACAATAACTGTGTTGACATGACGAGGAAATACGGAGTGTCCTTTACTATCTCATGGAACTAATCACTTAATCATTTTTTCACGTAATATACATCAAGCAATATAAACCAATCATATAACGGTGGTTTCGGTTACCAGCAACAGCAAGCGCGCCATGGCGCCAGACGACGGCTGATTTACGTTAGTAATTCTGCATTTTCATTGGTCAATTCACAACGGGTAATGCATTATGCATGTGTACCAAATCGGTAGACAAATGTAAAGAAAAAGATAAGCGTGCTAGTCTTTTTACGTGACAGCATCCGGGATGCGTTACGTGTCCAGATTGTCCGGGTATAGGTGCGTGGGACTTGACTAAAGGCTAGCCCTGACCAAAAAGCAGGTCAGCCCACCTATAACAACCGCTCATTTGCCCATCACTTTTCCTCAATTTAAACTGATTTTGATCAGGGTCGAAAAGTAGTATGTTACTGCTTTTTCAAGGGAAAGTATAAAAAAGGGGGAAAAGCTGCCGACGGACATACTTGTTCAGATCAGATTTCTGGACATACAATCCTCATTTCCTTGGAGTTGACGCCGCGTGTCCACGCTAGCCCGTTACAGGAAGTCTAGTAACATTAAACTATTGTTTTAAACCTAAGCAGGATATGTACCATAAGCCTGAAGACACAATGGACGTACGGTTATTAATAGTAGGGCAGATAAGGGAAATATTTGGCTGGATTGTTCACTATGATGGTAAAGCATGGCATTTGACACACAGTCAGAGTATGTCATGAGAACGATATTTGGCTAGGAGGGCCATCGCAGATTTGTTCTTTGAACAAAAATATTATAAGTAGAATGAAAAGCAAATGTCATTTTTTTTTTCAAAATGACTGCCATTGCTTGTTATTCTACTTATATTTTTACAAAGGACAATCTGCGGTGGCCCTATAGCCAAATATCTTTCCCATGACATACTCTGACTGTGTGCCATATTCCATGATTTTAACATCAACTGAACAATCCCATCACCTATCTGCTATACTACAACCTCGTTTGTTGGATTAATAGATTGACTACACCACATAATGGACTGACGATATCACATAACAGATTGACAACATTACATAATGGAATAATGTGAAGCCGAGGGAACTAGTTTGTCAACTTCCAATACCGAGGGGAGCTAATATCGACTGTCCACCCGAAATAAACCATGTTATATTTGTTTTACTGTACCTCATACATATTCAGTTGCCAAATTTTGTTTTATTATTATGCACCTAAAACAAAATTCGGGGAAACTTGTACAGCTCACCAAAAAAATCAACTTCAATTATACTAGTTCGGTTCGTTTGCAATATAATACAGTTACTACAGTTGTAAATACAAATGTTTGCAATGTGTACAACTTTCTTTTGTACAGGAGACATCTTTACACGGTCTATAAATTTTCTCCAGTACGGCATCATTGAGCTCTGGAAATTTACATTTACGCGAACCATGCAACCATGCATCTCTCCTGGGCGATGTTCGCACGTGCGTACTACACCCGTGCGACAGTTCCTTGATTGCTCTGTAAAGCGCATGCGTAGTAGACTGTCGCACGGGTAACCCATGCGACAGTCTACTACGCATGCGTATTTACAATGTGCGTGAATCCTCTCGAGCGCGTTTGGTAAACAGCAAGAATAACATCTGGCACGTGATGGGTGAATTGACCAGTGAACGTTCGGCTCTCGATCATGAATATGTATGAGGTATAGCTCAATGGGCATGCATATAATTGCCCTACATTCAGCGGGGTTTGTATACGTGTGTGAAGAGTTGCATTGGATATTCCTTGAAGAATAACATTCAAAATG